CCGAAAAGTACGAAAACGTCGTCAACCTCTATCTCAGCTTAGCTTCTCTCAGGCCTTGGACATGAAAGAAGAGAGCACACAGTTACAAATTACTCTGGTTGTATACTGTCCCTCGTTGAAAAGTTAATCAATGATGAAATATCTGCCCGTAATTGACTGGCCCTCTCGAGGCGAAATGACGCAAAGCGGACGCTTGTCGTCTACTTCACAGCCTGTTTTATACCCGATATTTAGAAATGATGTCATCACAGATAATGTAACGCTAGTTTCTAAACCAATAACTGAGCCTACTCCATTGCAACCAAGTACAGCATTTACACCAGACATACAAACCCCCATTTATTTTCGGTCACAGATATAATTGTACTTTAGAGAAAGGGAGATCATATTGTACACGTGAACTGTTAAGAAAGTAAGATGTTGGTATATACACGCCCGTAGTGTTATTACATACTAGGTCAAAGTTCATGTATTACAAATTACCCATTATGCAAGGTTGTTAATCAAACATGGCGTCCGTCTAAGTACACAGTACTATTGTTGTCTATCCGTCTTCACTAGATTGCTGCATTGACTATGCATAACATTAAGGTTTATGGCCTAAACTTACTATTTTTTTTTTTAGTTTTTAGTTGACGCTGGTATATTTACTGAATTGAAAATCGCAAAACGCGCGACCAGTGCTAACCTAAATCCTTATTTGATTGGTTAAATCAACGGTTAAGATAAACGTCAATATAACTTTCTTGTCTGTCTGTTCAAACTCGACAAACTTGTCACACCCGCTGCACTAGTGTCCTACAGTTTCCATATAGCAACACCCGGTAATGAAGCTAGTACCCCTCTGAATAATGGTATAAATCCACTTCGATAGCAATCTTTAGTCAACACGTAATATAACCCTATCCTGGGTTCATATATGTCCATGTGCTTTATGCCTGACACTCTGGGTTGTAGCTAATTGTGGGAATTGAACTTAGTACCACTTATGTCATAGTTGTGATTAATCATCACAGTGGTTGGAAATGGTGTGAATATTGTGTATACATATCGCAGTGGAAATGAGTGTAAACACGGGCATATATTTCATCATTGATTAACTTTTCAACGAGGGTCAGCATACAACCAGAGTAATGTGTAACTGTGTGCTCCCTTCTTTCACGTTCAAGGCCAGAGAGAAGCTAACTTGTCCAAAGCTGAGATGGAGGTTGACGACGTTCTCGTACTTTTCGGCGACTTCGATGTGTATCACAGTATCATGTTCTGTTTGGTCGCCCTCCCGGGTAATTTGTTTAGTGTGTGGCACATGATGGCCACGGTATTCCTCACTGCGGTTCCCGACACGTACCACTGTACCATCCCAGACGGCTCTTCTTTGAACGAGTCTATTCCAATTATCGACATAGATGAGAATGGAGATCCGGTGTATGACTCGTGTTCCATGTACGTCAACTCATCGGTTGATAACTCCACAACGGAATGCACGGATGGTTGGCATTATGAAAAACAATTTGAAGAGTCGATCGTCACAGAGGTAAGATATCTCCTGCTATCACATGATCATGATGTATATGAAATAAACCAACCTCGTACGGCGGTGACGCTTTCATAATGAATAAAAACAATTACCTGAATGTCTGAAAGATTATTTCAATAGAAGTTACCGATACAAGGGTAATATTTCTGCCGATTATTTATAATCTGTAACTGTAACAGCAAATGCACGTCCACTGACGTTTTCTTTCAAAAATGAGTCGGTGAGGCGGTACTGCATGTTTCACTAATTCTGTGCTGATCGACCAGCACAATTTTGCAGTGCAGACGCTGACCAGAAACATAAGTTTTTTGTTAGGATTATTGGTAAAAATATTATCAGCAGATATCACTCGTTTGGTTGGTGAATAACAGTAGCTAATTGCACCACTCGGATCAACCAGTCCCACGAACAAGTGCCATACGGTGGTAAATTATCATATTCGTAGATACGTTATCACTTACGTGTAACGTCACACTTGTGATATGTTTCACAAATTCCGTCTATATATTTTTTATTTCACAAAATAATTCAAATGAGTACAGACAATTCAAATGACAATAAAATAGTAAACGGAAAAATATAATTATAAATTATAATTTGGTGAGGGTCGCAGAAGTAGTCCTGCTGGACTAATCGAGTCTGTGACCCCGTAATGAATAAATTTGCTTGACCTGCATAACACCTCATAACCCCTGTATTCATAGTTTACAACTTTTTGTTTGAAACTCTGTCTGGATAACGAGAGGTTAATTTGTGAGATGTTAAAATGATAATTGACTGAGTATCGGGTTGGGTAGGTGTGGGGAATTTGGTCAAGATAGTTATTAATATTGTGTGCAAAATTGCCGTTGATTAAATCAAATACGAAAATGCAAGTGTGTAGAATGCATAATTTATAAACATTCAGAATTCCAAGTTGTTTAAATAAGGGACAGAATGGGCATGGTAGTAAGAGAAAGTGATAAGGCGAACAACTCTTATCTGCTGTAAAAGGATGGGATTCAATTAAATAAAGTGTGATTGTTCTCAGACTTCTATACAATAGCTAAACAGTGGTAACAATAATAAATTGTACAATATAAGAAGGATATACTGAGGGACATAATGACGTAATTGCGAAATAAGACCTACTTCCGGGGCAATATGATTTTTAACGTTTTCGATGTGCGACTCCCAGTTCATATGACGATCAATGTATACTCCCAATTAAGTAGACGAACGTACGCTCTCTGTTTGTCAACCATCTATGCAGAGCCTGCCCTAAATACGCAGTGATTTTTCGGGTGTGGTAATGAGTATATAGTTTGTTTTGTCCATGTTAATGGTAGTTTGTTGGCACTGCCCCATTCACAGACTCACTGAAGTTCAATGTTAATTAAGGGAAGATTAATACAATTAGTCTTAAAGTATTTAAACAAATTTGTATGTCTGCAAAGAGACGAAAGTCAAATGCAGTAGAAGAATTGGCTATGTCGTTAATATAAATTAAAAATAAGACTGGGCCTAAATCGATCCTTGTGGGACACCACATCGAATGTTATTGTATGGGGAAGAAACGCTGTTAATATTGATAAATTGTTGGCGATTTGATAAATAGTTTATGAACCAAAGATACCGTAATGGCTTAATTTACATAATAATATATCATGATTTAATTTATCAAAAGTCTTTATGAGGTCAATAAACATGCCAATAGTAACTAGAACCATTGTCCAGTCTTTCAGTAATATCTGTAACCAGGTCAGCCAGGGAAAACACTCGTGCTATATTTCTTACGAAAACCTTGAATACTGTCTGGATAATACCTAATTTGCTTGTTCACAAGTGCCTCAACCATTTTACTAAAAATTGGCAATATAGAGATTTGACAATAATTGCTTACGTTGCACGCATCCCTTTTTTTGTAAATTGGGATGACATTTGCAATTTTAAGTGGATCGGGAAAAATACCTTGACTAAGTGAACAATCGACAATGTGGGCAAAAAGACGAGAAATTATGTTTGCCGAATGTATAACCAGATTAGATTTTCTTATACCTAAGTGTTTGATTTCATTGAATACACCCTGTTTACTCACAGGGCGAAGAAAAAATGAATTACTCTAACTAATGACATTTTATATAACGAGAAACTTCAATACGAATTTAACCAAGTCCCGGAGAGAACAATGAATTGAAATGGATGTCACAAAATACTCAATAGCAAAACAACTCGTCAAAATGTTTGAAACGAGATCTGATATATATATATGAAGGACAGAACATGATTTGGGATAACAAGCATGCTTTGAATTAAACTGATCGGCACCGTTAGGTTTACAACATTCTACCCACAACAGTGAAGTTTAGAATTGTAAAACTACACGAACCCGTACATTTACCTATACATAAACCAGATCTTTCTGGCTTCGGATATGGACGACTGGATCACCATCGTCCTTTCGTACATAAATTCTGCCGTTGTTTGACCATATGTAACGCCACCCGGGTATCCAATCAGAAACAGGTTGCAGCTGGTGACCTTTTGCATCATTGGAAGGCAAGCTATCGTAATACTGACCAAAATTTCACTCTGCAAACTTTGAAGCAGCTGGCCTGGAAGAGCTATTGTGTTGTTGTTGAGAGGGTGTAATTTTTATTTTAAGCACTAAAGACGCAATGCAGGTGTGGTCCTGACTTCTGAGTGGTCAGTGTCAAGAGAGAAATTAGAAAAGGATTTGTTGATGATGGGAGGGGGTTATGTTGACCTTGCCTAGTACTTTGAATTATATTGAGACAGTAGCTGACACCACGGGACAAAAGAGTGTTGTAAGGGTGTAGGGTGCAGTGTTTCCTACACTACACTGTAATCAAATGCACATACTAGATGGTGGTGAAAATCCCCCCAAACGGCACAATGAGAGATGATAATGAAGCAGCAGATTGAAGTTTATATTAATTAATTAGTAAGTGACAACTCGATCCTTGCTACCAAAAAACATACCGGGTTTGGGCGTCACATAGTTTATGGGGAAGCCAATATTACAAATAAACCTAGATTTATTGTCTTATTAAGGGAACCATCAATACCCGTGCTTGACCTTACCCAGCTGACGCAAGGATATCAGTATCATGTATTCCCATATTAGGATATAACCAAACAGTCATGCGTAAAAGTCGAAGAGCCAACTGTGAAATCAAAATCAAAGTTTTCACTTAAATCAAAGGTGTATTTTGATAACTATTTTCAATTTGAATATATATATATATATATTTATATGGGGAGGCATATTTTAAATATATATATATATATATATATATATATATATATATATATATATATATATATATATATATATATATGCGCCATGAATTATTTCCCTTCCCGCGATGATCTCGCATAGTCTGCGTGAAAGTTGAAGACAGTAGTAATCTTCTTGGCCATGCTCTTTAGAATACGCATTTGTATTTGTTCATTTTGTGAACTTTTACTCTCTCAGCCAAACAAATATAATGAAGTTTTGTCACATTTCAAGTGAATTAGTATTCACATTTGTTAACTGTTTGAGTATGTACGTCAGTATTGTGAATTTTTGTTAATAAATGTAACGCTTGGAATATATGACACATAGACAACGGTATAGAGCCCAATCACATATCCGGTCCTTTTTATTTCCTAATTCTGTGTGTATATAACAAAGATATACTACAGAAACCTGCATACAGAAGTATAGAAAACACTGTTAAAAATAAATAATATCAGTTGGCCCTAAAATGATGACACCATGCGTGGGATACAAAATACATTTCTATTAATAACTGAAACATTTTGAGTTAACAGTTAAATACACTCAAGGAACCCAAACTGCACATTATTATTGTCAAAATATACAAAACAATATAATGTCATATCAGAGAGATACAATACTGAAATAATGTATAAACAAGGTGTTTATATACACTACAGTACGAAGAAACATTTGCAAAGATTTGTTGTATTATATAATACATCAAGCAATTTGAACACTATTTTACAGGCTCATGTACTATAAATGTATATCACTCACCCCGACAGGACGCAACAAAGACAATTTCTGTGCTCAATTCACAATTTCTAGATTCAAAATATCAGAACATATCAGATCTTAACATCTGTTTAGTAATAAAGCAGTAGTGTAAGAATCTTAATGAATTGCAAACTTAAGTGCAGATAAATACGACTTTTACAGATAAACAGTGCATACAATGAAATAAGTGAAAATACCTCTTTAGAATTTGCAAAATGTCACAAAAATATCACACACAGAATCATTATGACAGGGTATCACTTCATGAGCAATCGACTCAATTTTGTAAGCAGTAACGCACATAATATCGAACAAAGATATTTGTGATCATAAATACAG